CTTGGTTTTTGAAAGCAAGTTTGTAATTCTGGTTTAAACCACGACGGATACACGTGTATTAGATTTAGGCAAATTCCCAAATGTGCAGAAATACACAATTCACTCGATATCGGTTTTGGCAAATGGCAATGGTGGAAAAAGGGGTTATATTAAAATTTTGTCAGAAAACATGCATAGAGTTCCCCTTGATAACAAGTATGACGTCATTTGAATCTCGCATTATATGGAAATTCGTAAAAATTAAAAATATGATAATTAATAAAAGGATTTGGGTCAAATTGAACTGTACCTCGATTATGTTGAGCTGGAATAGCAGGTAACAGGGAAACTAAGGAAGTTACAGTGACTCTGAGTCAGGTGCCTGCTCGACAATGGCGACATCATGTTCAGAACGTGGCGGTGCATGAGCTGCTACAGCTAGGCCTACTCTATGTTTTAGGTCTGGATACGGAACTTCTTGTGATTTCTCTGGAATAAGGTCTCCTGGCCTTCGAAGCTCTTGATACACGTAACATATTTACTTGTATTTGACAATAAATCAGCAGATGATGATCGATTAATTCTTTTAAAAAATCTTTGCGTCTGCTTCATTCAATTTACAGATTCAAAAGGAATATTCTAGAAGACATGCGCATACAAGAATTATCAAGAATTTTTTAAGCACCGAGCCCGATGATTTATGACGTTCAATGTTTAGAAATTAAGAGTTATCTATCTTTGCATGTAAAACATTAAGCTGCACGAAATAACCAGGTTTATCCATAAACCCCAGTAAGTGTTGACAAACAAGTTAATAAGCCAAGAAAATCAACAGTTTCATTTTGTAAGTTCTATGGTCGAAACAATGACCTCAATAGTCAACAAATACAGTCTATCATTATGTCATATACTGACTGATGTTTTTTCAGTATATCCCCTGCTTGAAAAGCGGGAGAGTATACAGTAATCGGTCCGTGCGTTCGTGTCTGTACATCCTTCCGTCTGTCTGTCTGTTCGTCCGTCTGTTACGCTGTGAAAATCAGTGCGTCTTAACTTCAGTTGACTGAATATTCAAAAACTGCAAAGCTTTGTTTAAAGTTTATTCAATGTATAACGACCATATTTTGTACCTAAGAAATGAATAGTCCGATATTTTAAATCATGGTAGCAAAATATTTTGATTGATTAATTATTATTGTTCTACGCCAAGTCGGCAATATTTTAGTCATAATTTGAAGATGTTGTAAAACAAAAATGTTCCAACAAGGAATTTATATGTTGATTACTAACCAATTAATTGCACCTTGATTTTATTATTAAAGTCTATGGACAGCGAATTTCAAACTAATTCAAGTATTATCTCTTGGTGAAAATATGCGTTTGTTTGTTTATTAAAATATGATATAAAATGAACTTTTTTTTTTTTTTTTTTTTTTTTTTTGTTTTGGATACCGAAGAAATTTAGATAAATTAATTTTTTTTTTCAATCAAGGCCAGATAACTCGTGGGAAACTTTCAATGTGCAAAAATGACCGTCTCTGTACATGTTATTAGTCTTGCCAATTTTGGTTCATTTCACTTTTATCTTTATCTACAATCGTCGAAAATTCCTTCATTATACATTGAATACCTTAAGATGGACGGAAACTGATATTGGGATAAGGGTTTTGAGTTTAAATGTGAAAATCGAGACACCCTTTTAATATTTGTACATAATACAACAAAAATCTGCAAAGATTGAAACAATCACATTGTAATATTTTTCAACATGCAAACATGTCCCCGAACCAGTTTGGCCAGTCTAAAATGTTGTAACAAAAACTTGAATGGTATCACAAGAGACAATTATATGCTTGATACCCAAAGTCACTATTTTACTCACTCTTAGTAATGCAAAGAAAGCTAATGTAAAGGCAGGCTTGAATAAAGCCGCTTCAAAAGCATGTAAAAGCAAACTTAAATAAAGCCACTTCAAAATCATGTAAAAGCAGACTTAAATAAAGCAGCTTCAAAATCATGTAAAAGCAGACTTAAATAAAGCCGCTTCAAAATCAGAACACAAATATGGCAAAACACTGACAATGTTATCCAACATAGGTAATATAATAGTTTTCTTATATCCTGAGACGCATTAGTTACATCTCTTGAAACCAGCCCATAACTTCTTAATAATAAATGAATCGATTGGATTCTGCCAACCATGTAAGTTGATGACAAAACTGATTCCTGATAAATAACATTTGACGGTAGAAAAAGCCATAATACTCTCTGACATATATGCTATAAAATTAATCATATGATCAAAAGGAGGGGACCAGATCTGCTGAAATGATACCTGTTGCCTGAAATTGAAAAAAGACTTTGCTTTCTGTATTTTGAGATACACCGGTTTGAAGGAGACTGGCTACAGCAAGCTCCTGAATAGCTCTGCAAAACTGAATAGGTACATGCACATGGAGGGAAAAGGTTCTGTAATGAAACCTGGTCCACAGAAACCGAGAAATAGCATCTGGAATTTATTTATTATTATTATTTTTATAATATACCTTGTATATGTTGAGCTTTTAAATGTACATTAAACTTAAAAAGTCTGCATAACTAACATCCCGACTAATGCCATAATTCTTTTGTTTTTAGATGATTTGTGATTAAATTGTGTAAACCAAAGAAAAAATTGTCAATATGAAGTTTTTTTTTTTCAAATTTAATTTAAAATTTCAGCCCAGATCATAATCCTTAATACCACAGATACAAGTTCTAGGAAGGCGATATCCCTGTATTACTCCTCAGGCCAGTCAACAGGTCAATGTGGGCAACACCAATGTTTACTAAACACCACACCGTAACCATTGAACTATCTAAATAAAATTGAAGTGCATTAATTATATAGATTATTCCTGCTACACACGACTAGGAAAAGGTGTGACGTGTCCTACAATTAAAATTCCCAAGAAATAGAATTAATATTAATTACACATCAATAAGTCTAGATACCTTATTTTTATTTATTTATTTAATTATTTTGGGAGTCGTTTAGAAAAAAAATTGTTAAACTTTTAATTATTCGATTAATTCAATTTTTTAAAAATAAATTCTATGTACATGTATATTTAAAGAAATTGAATGTTTATGTACATGTAATGGGACGGGTTTTTTTTTTTTTTTTAACAAACCCCGATATTTTCTTTGAAAATTATATAAAAATGGCATTACTAGATCACCGTAGAAAACATAATAAACGTGGGAAATCCCAAATTATTACTATGTGAAGATGACCAGTGGATAGATGGATAGTTTACAGACTATTATGCAGGGTCTTGGTTTTTGAAAGCAAGTTTGTAATTCTGGTTTAAACCACGACGGATACACGTGTATTAGATTTAGGCAAATTCCCAAATGTGCAGAAATACACAATTCACTCGATATCGGTTTTGGCAAATGGCAATGGTGGAAAAAGGGGTTATATTAAAATTTTATCAGAAAACATGCATAGGGTTCCCCTTGATAACAAGTATGACGTCATTTGAATCTCGCATTATATGGAAATTCGTAAAAATTAAAAATATGATAATTAATAAAAGGATTTGGGTCAAATTGAACTGTACCTCGATTACGTTGAGCTGGAATAGCAGGTAACAGGGAAACTAAGGAAGTTACAGTGACTCTGAGTCAGGTGCCTGCTCGACAATGGCGACATCATGTTCAGAACGTGGCGGTGCATGAGCTGCTACAGCTAGGCCTACTCTATGTTTTAGGTCTGGATACGGAACTTCTTGTGATTTCTCTGGAATAAGGTCTCCTGGCCTTCGAAGCTCTTGATACACGTAACATATTTACTTGTATTTGACAATAAATCAGCAGATGATGATCAATTAATTCTTTTAAAAAATCTTTGCGTCTGCTTCATTCAATTTACAGATTCAAAAGGAATATTCTAGAAGACATGCGCATACAAGAATTATCAAGAATTTTTTAAGCACCGAGCCCGATGATTTATGACGTTCAATGTTTAGAAATTAAGAGTTATCTATCTTTGCATGTAAAACATTAAGCTGCACGAAATAACCAGGTTTATCCATAAACCCCAGTAAGTGTTGACAAACAAGTTAATAAGCCAAGAAAATCAACAGTTTCATTTTGTAAGTTCTATGGTCGAAACAATGACCTCAATAGTCAACAAATACAGTCTATCATTATGTCATATACTGACTGATGTTTTTTCAGTATATCCCCTGCTTGAAAAGCGGGAGAGTATATAGTAATCGGTCCGTGCGTTCGTGTCTGTACATCCTTCCGTCTGTCTGTCTGTTCGTCCGTCTGTTACGCTTCGGGGTACCCATCTCTTATCCGCAACTCCTCTCATACTCCTCACAGTACCTCTAGTTTTAATTCATTCAAGCCATTATTTACACAGTACACACTGATTTGTCGACGGATTTTTCCGTCACTTTCTGATCATTACAGGAGACACACGGCAGGTGTGACGGACAGGAGATGCTCATTCCTCCATAGCACCTGATCCAATCTTTGACATTTCAGAGGTCCGTGTTAAAACTAGAGGTACTGTAAGCAATGAGCTCACTAAATGATATCCCCCGCCTCCCATATGAATATAATGGCAGTGCCCATGTTTTGTTGTGGGAAACCAAAATATGTGTCGGATCAAAAAATAAAATAGGAGGTGCATAATGTCAATATGTAATAGATTCTGTAAAAGTTTCATCAAATTTCATTCAGTGGCATGAGAGGAGTTGCGGACAAGAGATGGGTACCTCAAAGAGTAACAGACGGACAGGACGGACATACCAATTACTATGTTTGCCGTGTTTGCTCTGCTCCTGATTTGTATTGTTTGAATAAACTTTTGATCTTGAATACGTTTTGATTACTTGAGTGTAACCTGGCGAGATTAGATTATTCTGTTTAACTTTTATTAATTCCTTTTATATTTACAAAGAGAATAGCTGGATAGAAACTTAACACTGAATATCAAACATATTATGACCAAATATGTCTCCTACCGTTAGTGGACACACTCTTTGGTAAACTGTGAGTTGATGTAATACTTCCTTCTGGAATAAACAAAACCAATATGTTGTTATACAAGGCACAGGCACCTGATCACCCCTACTAATGTGTTCGGAACCTTTTATTTGTCGGTGTTCTGCATATTATAAAACCCGATGAGTTCAGAGTAGCTCTGACATTGGCTCTGGCGAGAGCTAGCGAGACTTCAGCGAGATAGAGTAAATTATTCACGGAAATGTGGCTAGGAAGTGACTACCACGTGGAGACATGGTAAACGGAAAAGTTATGTTGTGTTTTAGTTTTCACCACCCTATAATATCATTCTGTAGAAATGTACTTCAATCGATCTTTCTTGAATTCATTCAAGTTTAAATTATTTTAAAGTTTTTTTCTATGATACAATTTTCTGCTGTCATGAATTAGAATTTCTTTTTAGACAAATATTTTGCATGGGAACCGGGACTATATTTTTGGTGTCAGATTAGCAAATGGGGCACCAATGTGACTTTAACTGACAAATCAGATGAATGAGAATTGCATTATGGGTTACTATACGAATACTACAGGAATTTTACGCTTGATAAATTCCTTTATTGTACTATCGGTGAATACAATTGCCAGGTGGATTCCCTTGCCAACACACGTGATCACGAGTATACATGTATAGTTATGTAAAAAATGTTTTGTCCATTTAAACGCATACGAGAAGCTGCTCGTTTTCCTTATCCTTGAATTGCTGGTGTTCTGAACTTGACACGAACTACGTATACGTTTTATTAAGCATATTTTTCTCTATTGTTATTAACAAATTAAAAACGCCAGTGATATTATTAATAGTTTCTAATGTTTCATAGGAACATTTTTTTTTACTTTGCACTCCATTGATATGATCATAGATTGACCTGAACCACGTGTTCGAAGTAACATGTAAACATGTATTTGGCGTTGCTTGTGGTAAGATCCTCTGTGCGCATTAATAGCAATAGCCATATAAGGCAAACAAAGGTTTGTCAGTGTAAATGATATTATACATTTTTTTACAAGCATCTCGGTCGCTAGTGAGCTGTAATTTTTGCAGTTAAGTATAAGATGTATTAATTGTTATTTACCACCCCCCCCCCCTTAAGCCATCCATTTTGTTGAAAATCATGAAAGTCTTTCAGAAAGGTGTGCAAACACACATTTTTCACAGGACATGTTTCAGAAGAAACAGACTATAGCAATTTCCTGTTTACTGCCAATTTTATTTATAAAACCGGATCTACCCTATAACCTTTGAATAGGTAAATCTAAACCACGTGTCTTGAATTTAAATCACAATAACATTAGTAGGGGTGCTGATGCTACTTATTTTACTTTTAATAACAAAACACACCCCATACCAAATAATTCACAGGCGCCTGATGTAACTTATTTTTATTTCAATAAAAAATATATACCCCTACCTAATAACTCACAGGAAGGGGTAGATTTTTTTTTATCAAAAGAAGAATAAGTAACGCCAGGTGCCTGTGATTGAAGAATTGTATCTACAGTGGTTACATATAAACTAGAAATATATCCATAGGATATGAAGCCCCCGCCGAGGGTATTTTAATAATGCAACACGAAAATTTGTAAATTTGTATTATTGTGTTATTGTATCAAGATGGTTATTAGATGATAAATTCAAACCAATCAATGTATAAGTGCACAAGCTAAATCTTACATAAATATATCTTAAATAGTTTCTCCAAAAGTAAGCAAAATGCACATTTAGGAAAGGTGAGGTCAAGGTCATAGGAGAGAATATCACCACATTACTATGACCCGCACTCAGTCTGGACCTTTCACCCATCGAGCATGTCTGGGACGTGTTTCGATCAACAGCAGCTATTCCACTGTCAACAACCTTTTGCCAATGTCCAAGAACTTGCTGCAGCATTGCAACAGGAATGGAATAACATTAATTGCCGAATCCGAGCCTCTCTGGCCAACCGAGGGGGCCTAACCCACTACTGACTCTGTTTCAAAGTATGTAAATGGGATAGAAAGCGGAAAAAATCTTTTTAAGAACTCACCTAAGGATATATTCAGATATTGCTTGGCTGTTCCTGTTTCACAGAGCCCAGAATAACCAGACTCACACAGGAACTGTGTATAAGTGTCACTGCTGGTGAGGTTATATGTGATAGTACTGGAACGTGTGTACTGACAGCCAGACGGCGAGGCCTCCGAGTGGACTGGGGTCTCTGGTAACCCAGTAAAGCTTAAAGCTTGGGACTTCTTCGAGCACCATCGAATTGTCTGAAGAGTAGATAATGAAAGTTCAATTAAGATGTTGACATACAGAAAGTTTTCTGATCTTATATTGTTATTTAAGGTAATGCACCTACAGCACTTTGTTCACTGCCAATCTGTCCTGTACATGTCAGTTGTACAGCTGTTCCAACCGGAAATTGTCTTGATGGTGTATCCGAAAATTCACCAACTATCCTCAAGGTTGGCATTTCAATCGTTGTTGGATATACTTAATTACAATAAAGATCCATCAAGATGTAACAAGATTTTACAATTATGAATATTAGATTAAATAAACAAATGCGATGCAGTATTTTGGAATGTTTACTACATACCTGTATAAGTAACATACACCTGATTTGTTTCTTGATTAACTGCCCCTGTTGTGAATCCACTCATCGTACACATGTATCCAGTAAAATCGCCAGGACACAACACTCTGTCCTTAGGAATCATCATCTTGAGCTGAGCTGTAGCAGGTGAGCTGACAGCACCTGTTGCTGTTGCTCTATTTTGTAAACTTGTGTCCTGCCATGTTATAATATCTTGACCGTTACTTGAACGAACAGAAACCACATCCTGTATTGTGCCAGTACTGTTTTTTTGTAGCCGTATAGTATACACTGTATCAAGTTGTGATGGGTTTATGATGGAGCAGGTGATTACAAAATCATTTTGCCCTAATATTACAGTTGATGGTTGGACCTGAATTTGTAGGTTCTGTGCTGTAAAATATATATACTCCTTTAATTTAGAAAATATACACATGCAGTTTTTTGTGAATAATAAAAATTAACAATAATTGTACAAAATGATATTTAGGAGATTAACATGATTCACAATTGACTTTGATTTTAAATTTGTAATGGACTCTTTGCCATAATTTTAGCAATATGTAATTGTAGTACTGATATATTCTGCGCACCTGTCAGAATGTATAATTTATGTAAAAACAATAATAAAGCAAAAAAAAAAAATTAAAATTAGTTAAATAACACATGATATACCAGTAAATGTCCGTTATCATATATCAGTAAAATTAATATACATGTACTCCCATTGTTATATTCTATAATAATTTATTCTGTTGATTGAAAATATCAAGCTTTGGAAATCTAGACTGGGGCTTTTTTGTTATATTTACTTTCTATATCTTGATAGCTAATGCTTTAAAATAGCAATGTTATCCATCTTGCGCGTCTTTAGAATATCAAGATTTTCCCTACAAATTATGCATTCTATTGGTCAAGAGGTTGAAGTCAATAAAAGAGTAAAGTATCCTTTATACAAGAAAGGCACCAGACCTTGCATTACCAGCCTCTATAGCGATTCTCACCAAAACATTACTCGTTAAATATGATTTCTTTCGTTTGAGGAACGGATTAGACAGAAATTAATTTCTAATTGGTGTGATAGTGAATTACTTTTGTCGGAATTACAATGTTTTCATTGAAATACCTGGTAAATATCACGTGGTTCTTTAGAACCGTCTTGTTAGCAAGGCTATGTGAAGTGAATACTGGTTGAAAGGTGCTTAGATTCGATGTGAATGTTTTCTGAAATTTTCTATACAATTTCACAACTTATATGTAGCTAAAGAATTTCATACGAAAATATAATAAAAATCTTTTTTTTCTGGAAGTTATTGAAACTTTGAATTTCTAGACGCGTTTGATTGACACGTCCTTGTACCTTCACAATTTTTAACTTTATCCTTCATACTTAAAAAAGGTACCAATTTTGTTGTGTATTAATAAAAAATATTATAGCTATCATCCAGAAAATTCTGAATAGGTACCAATTTTGTTGTGTATTTATGAAAAAATATTAAAGCTATAATCCAGAAAATTCAGAGTAGAAATGTTTGAGGTATGTTTAAATGTTTAAGGTAGAGACCTATAGCAAGATAGATAGAATTCGCATATTAGTACGTGCTGTTTTTCCAGATTCCATAATAATTTTTTTCTGAAATTTAAGACACTTATTGACTAACTATAATATGCATTAAAAAAAAGAAATTTGATGAGTAATTTTTTCACAGTGGAAGCAGAAGTGTGAGTCTTTGTGCAATTTGACCATGCATCTTGGTGAATGTAATTCTATTTTTCGCTTACAATGCTTGATAAATTTCGTTGATGTCAATTTTTAATTCATAAAGACAGATGTTTGAATTCATATAAGACAAAATGATAATTGACATAGCAATAAAAAAAATTATAGCCCTTTTCATATCTTATTCTTATTTTACTCTGCTCTTTCAGCTTTTCGGTGGTTGATGAAGGCTATATTAAAATTGTCAAATTTCTCTTAAATTAGCCCGATGACCTGCCTTGAATTTTTATATGATTTAGAGCAAATCGCAAAATACCTAAAGGATTACATTGTTTGTGACGAGCTGACGCTTTACTTGTCGAGAACTTTAAATTCTTCGTCACATTCTCGCCACATCATAGGACGTAACCGAGATCGCGTCTGTCCCAAGCTAAAGTCGGTCAGCTGCAATACACATCGCCGACGTTTAACGGGTTTACAAAAGGGGACAGAAAACACAAATCTTACTAAACAGTTTAAAAAGAGCATTATTTATATTATATGCATTTTTTAGAGTCCATAATAAATTAAAGCCGTGAAAATTTAATTTAAATTTATAGTATTTACCATTTGTGTATATGGCACGGTATACATGCGATATAAAATGATGTACATGATCAATTTAATTGTTTCAAATCACTAGTACTGTTGATGTGAAATGATTTTTCTGTGGAAAAGAGAAATATTCCGTTAATGTATCAAACCATGAACTTGAGACTTGAGAACTTAGTATACATAGATTTTTTTTTACATGTATACCCCAAACAGCCGTATTATACCAGTAAATATGTACTTGTGTTATGGGTCAGAATAACCCTAAATGCCAGCAAAGATCAATAACACAATTTAAACTTAACAATAATTTATTAACAGTAATATATACAAATCATAAAGTACAAACTTAGCAAGAATCTAAAAATACATACATCAGAGTGTCCGTTACTGCACACAATGTCCCAGTGAAAATATGTCCCAGTAATACCTCAATGATGCTTGTACGACCAAAGTATATCTATGCATCGAATTGACAGGGTATTTATACAGTATTAGAAATCTAGAATATTCTAGAAGTTGTAAGTACATGATATTACTGGAAAGTTCTGGACATACACAAAGTTCAGGAATGTTCTAGAAACAATGACCGAACATGTTGACCACTCTGGAATGTTCAAGAAACTTAATGTTACTAATAATAGACATGATGAAACAATACAAATACAACACACCTCACAACACCTCCCCCCTTAAAAGTTTGAATGTCAATGAAAAACTTAAATTGTAAAACATATGTACATTAATACAAAATCTAGTATGTTTACGATACTCTTGACAAGGCATCTGCAATAACATTGTCTTTGCCTTTGATATGCTTAATTGTTATGTTGTATTCTTGTAACAACAAACTCCATCTAGTCAGTCTTTGATTCTTGTTTGACAATTTATGCAAAAATGTCAGGGGGTTGTGATCCGTATATACAAGAATTGGATGCAAAGTAACATTCAAATAAACATCAAAATGCTGTAAGGCTAACAACAAAGCAAGGCATTCCTTTTCAATGGTGGAATAGTTTTGTTGACATTTTGTAAGTTTCTTTGAAAAATAAGAAACAACTCTATCTACATTATCACTATGTTCTTGAAAAAAGCTGCCCATTCCAACATCACTAGCATCAACAGTAAGCTTAAATTGCTTAGAAAAATCTGGAGTTGACAAAACTGGGTTGCTCATAAGGACAGATTTGATTTTATGAAAGGATTTTTCACAGTCCTTTGTCCATTCAAAGTTAACCCTCTTTTGTAAAAGATTTGTAAGTGGACTAACTACTGAGGAAAAATTTGGACAAAATTTTTCTGTAAAACCCAGCCATGCCCAAAAACCTCATTAATTCTTTCTTGTTTGTAGGAATCGGGAACTTTGCAATAGCTTCCACTTTAGCCATTATGGGTGTAACATAACCTTGACCTACTTTATGACCTAAATACTCTACATAAGCATGACAAAATTCGCTCTTCTCAAGATTCACAGTTAAGTTTGCTTTAGCT